ATCGCAGTCCAGCGCAAACCCGGGTGCCGCAGCGAGAAGCTGGGGGCGTGGTCGCGCGAGCAGGGGGCCTCGCGAGATGGGGGCTGGAACTGCGTCGCGCAAGAGAGAACCGTGAGGCAGGCGAACGTGCACGTGCCAATAGTGGCGGTGAGCCCGAAACCGAGGTCACGTGGCGTTCGCGCGCGCTCCTGACATTTAACTAGAGCGTCCCACCAAGCATCGCAATGACCTTCGGGCCAGATCTCCTCGCCTAGGTGCTTCGCATGACGCAGCGCCAGGAAGGGCGCGGTGGCGTGCAGCGGGAGTGGCCGAGAACGCTTCGACCCGAGCAACCGCGCGCGCGTGTGATAACAATCCGACACTTACTGAAGTTGGGGTGCAGTCTGACGCTGCTCTCGGGCAACATATGCAACCTGTAAGTCGGGGCCACTTTGTCGTGGATGCTACGCGGCCCAGGCAGCAAATCGTCGGCGTATCCCAGATGTCGGTCAATCTGTCGACTCCCCCTCCAGGGAGTCCACCGCGTGATCGGGTGCAGGGCCCCGGGGGACAAACGCGTGCTCGTTGGGCCCTCTCGGCGAACCCCTCTCCCTGCCAGGGTCGCACGGGGTCGCCGGTCTGCTGGCGTCGCAGTGCCAGAACTCTGAGCGCGTGGCGCCGCGGAGAAACATATTTTGGGCATGGGAACATCAGCCTAAGGGCGATGAGAACATGCGAAATAAAAAAGGGGGGGGGGCGGCAGCGGCGAAATCAGTGAAGGGGATCTCCGAACTAGGAATGCCACCGAGCCATTGAGAGCGAGCCGCCATTCCCCCGCCTCCACAATGTTCGCAATGATACTCCTCCCACCCACTGCGCATTTCTGCGCCTCCTGAGTCGCATGCTGAGCAACCTTCATTTGCGGTCACCCCATGCCCATCGAGATGGCTTTGCGCGCAGTGCCGGCGCGAGCGGTCGCGTCCTGCCTGCGTCGCGACACGCGTCGGCACTTGCATCGTCAGTGTGCGTGCCTTCAGGCAAGAACGTGATCGGCGCGTGCCGCATCTCCACAGGCAGCTCCGCGCCATTCGCACCGCGCAGGCACTCCTACGTCAGACAGAGGACTTCCGCCGCAGGCACGATTGTCCACCTGCTGTAGGGGGGCCCAGCAGGGCCAAGTGCCGTGTTGCGTTTGCCCCATGAACGAGCCCGCGAAGTCGGATTGTTCGAGCTTCCGAGAGATGGTGTCCCGAAGCGTTCGAAGCGACCGGCAATGCTGCAGCGGCTCCTCGCAGAAGCCCATATCCTCCTCCAGCGGTTTGAAGACGCCCCCCCAGTGCCCCCCATGTGAGCGCGCCCGCCGTCGCATCTGACGCCGCGCCTACATCTTGAAATGGATGCGCTCTACGGCGTGTTGCCTGTGGAGCTCGGCCTGGTCCCTGGCAGGACGTCTGGCCGACGTCGAAGAATGGGTGAGGCACGGGATATGCGAGGAAAGCTCTCCGTGCCTGCAAGAACTGCCTGGCCCCCCATCGCCGAATCGAGTTCACGGCCCAAGAATGCTGTTCATCAGGAGTGCGAAGTTATATCAGCGAGCAGCGCGCTCGGGAGGTTGGTGTGCGCCCGATCCAAGCGAGACGTATGACTGCTCCCATCATTCCTGGCTCATACCTTGTTGGATCGGCCTGGTAGAGTTCGGCCCATTCACTGCATTCGGCCCCGGGGTACGTCGTATGCCACCGTTCACCCGCCGTCCAGCGCGTGCCGTCCACTTCGTGCTTCCCCCCCATCCTCGATCGCGAAGTTCCAACCCCCTCCATCATATTAAGCACTGAGTCGCCGCTGGCAGTGGATCGCATATCTGCGTGAGCACCTGGCCGTGCAACGGGCAGCCATGACAAGTGTTGGGCACATGGGCGTTGATGATGCAGAATGCTCCCGCCGCGACGACGCAGTGAGCGAGGGGCGCACGGCCCTCGCGCAGGGGTCGATGATAGCTGTTCGAAAACATGGACGCCAACGCCTTGCGGATAATCGTGATTATCCCCACTTCTGCAGCCGTCGCACACGTCGTCGCGCCGATGCTGCGCCCTCGCAGCAACTGTCGCAGCGCCTCCGCGTCCCTCCCGTGTCCGTGACATTCCTGGATGCGCATGACGTATGATCTCGTGCCGTTCGCGCAGCGGTAAGAATGTGCTGTGCCTCTGTTGAGCCACCCCCCCGCTATATTGCACCAGCGCGTAGAATGTATGAGCGTTCCAGATCACAATGCAGAAGGACGAGAGGGAGCGAAAATAACATCTACAATGCGACAACTATCTTCATCATCGGAGCAAGCCGAGGGTCCGTCAAAGGACGACGACGACAGAGACGCGGACGCCGAGGTGGAGGAGGAGACACAAGAAGAAACCACAAAACTACTCGTTGCATTCTGAGCACGGTCGTAGCTGCTGCGAGACGGCTTAATCGGGACGGCGCATGGTTACATTCGCCGCTTCGAACATCAAAGCAGCCTCCGAGCGGATGTTAAATTCACCGAGGGTGGCCTGCGTCGGCTCTGCTTGCACGCCGTTGCTTCCCTCCATTGTGGACAAGTTTGCCACGCGTACGGGATCTTCAGCACCCCGACGGATGTGCACATCTCCGCCGAGCCCGTTACAACCCGCAGCGAGGCATCCCTGAAGCAATGAGTCGGGCCGCTGCCGAACCTTCCTCACGGCGAGGAACAGGCGCCTACTCTGGATGTCAAAATCATGGCGCACCTTCAGCGTGAAAGACTCCCCGTTGCCTGTCGGGTCGGGGTGCGTCACGTTTCGGATCTTCTGGACATTCGCGAGGAAAGGAAATGCATCTCGGCGGCCTTGCGAAGCGTGGCGCCCATCAGAAGACGAGGGAACCCGAGCAGGATGAACCGTGTTGGCCTTTCCTCAAGGTGATATCCCGACGAAACACGCGAGACATGTGATGTGGTACCTGAACGTGCTGACCGTGGGTTCCGCGCGCGTCGCTGGCATGTCGGCGGGCCTACACTGCCTCCATCATCGCCGCGTTGATTGACGTCGTTGGTCGAAGCCTTCAACTTCGCCATCTTTTCCTCGAGTTGCTTGGTGCGGACCTGCTGTTCGGCGTCCTTCGCGATGTTCCCCATCGCGCCGCTCGAGGACTGTTACGACTCCGTGCTTGCCTCCAAAATGTCCAGTCGACCTGCCAACGCGTTGAAGGCGGCCCTCATCACACCGATGGGGCCCGGCATGGCAATCAGGCTCGCCGGAAGCTTCGCATTGATGGCGTTCACAGAAGCCACCGGGCCTGTGGCCCACTCCAGAGCCTCGCCCGCCTTGGCAAACTGCGCTGCCGGACAATGATGCGCCCGTGTGCAAGAAACACACAAAACAGGAAGGGCCTGTCCCGATCAAACAAATGTCGCTCGAAATTCCCTTTGGGCAATGACAAAGCTCAAGCCGGCAGGGCAACACGGTTTGAATACTTGAACCAAAACTGCTCGAGCCAAAACGGCTACGAGGATGTGGTTTGAGCCCGAGGTGCAAGCTACGTCAATTATGTGCTGTCATATGATGTAGTGGAAACAATGCTGTGTAAGCAATGTGATGTAAGCTATGTCGTGTGAGCTATGTGTTGAACATATGTGGTATAGCCTCAACGCATGGTGCACCCATGAAGTGGCACTGGTGGCAACGCGGCGCGACCTCGGCGGACACACCCAACGCGGGCCGCGACCACGAGCGCCCACGAGGCGGCACGGGTGGCAACGTGTCGCAACCTCGGCGGACCCACAAAGCGCATGCGGCGCCCACAAGCGCTCACGAGGCGGCACAGGCGGCAACGTGACGCAACCGCGGCGGACCCACCCAGAGCACGGGGCACCAACGAGCGCCCTCGTGGGGGCACGGGCTGGCAACGTGGGAAATCCTCGGATGACCCGTCCCACTACTGGAACAGCACAAGTAAGAACCCCTAAGTGCAAGCAGCGCTTGGGGATCATAAACATTTGAATATGTATGCATGAGTGCATGCATGCATGCATGCATGCATGCATACATACATACATACATACACACATACATACATACATACAAACATACATACACACATGCACACATACACGTACATACTGATGTAGCTGTGCATATTTGTATAGATGTGCTGTGTATGCGTATGCCTGCCAGCGTGTATCCCAAGCAATGGCTGACGGTCCTGTGGATGCAGAAGCTATGTGGCACAATTCAAATGGTTACTCTGAAGTGAAGCCGCATGTAGTGCGCAGTACGATGTAGGCTGTGTCGTGCAAGCTGTATGATGGAAGCAGTGTGGTGTAATCTGCGTCGTGCATGTTATGTGGTGTAAGCTATGTGGTACAACCTAGAGGCCTCCGGGGGCTCCGTGGGCCCAGCAGGGGCCAAATGCGGCCGGAGGAGGAGGAGGAGGATGAGGAGAAGGAGGAGGAGAAGGAGGAGGAGGAGGAGGAGGAGGAGGAGGAGGAAGCTATGTGTTGCCAACTGTGTGGCCACAAGAAGTGGAATGCAGTATGCGACCGGCCAACGCACGAGGCACCCACGGGCGGGCACCGAGCAAAGCCTCGGCACGCCCACCCAGCGCACGAGAGGTGCCCACGTAATTGCCCCCCCCGGGCGGGCACCAACCGTGACCCTGGCCAAAAACTCGGCACACCGAGCCAATTCGTTGGAGGAGCCTAAGTAAGTCCTCGGTAGCAGTGAAGTAGAAGTACTCAGTAGAAGTACTCAGTAGAAGTACCGAACCAATTACCTGGACCAATTAGAGGAGCCTAAGTCAGTCCTCGGTAGCAGTGAAGGGTATGAGTTCGCAGCACCAGGGTAGAGGAACTTGCTTGCGCAGGGGTGCCAGCACTGTTTGAGGAAGCTGTTTGACCAGAGGCAGAGGAGAAGAGAGAGAGGGCAGAAGAGATAAGTAGGGGATGCTCATCAAAAAGGTCAGGGTCGACAGCTCAACATCATACTCATGGTTCCGATCTCCGAGCAGACCTGCTTGCTCGATGTTCAAGCTCCTCCAGAAAATGAAATTCATGATGGCCGCCAACAAGCAGCCAAAGCTCAATATCGTATTCTGGGGGGAGGCGTGGGGAGCAGAAATCCTGAACGGAACCCCTGCCTTCGACTGATGCACGCTTCATCTGTCGGCCATGGAGCTCCAATGGGTTAGGCTTGAAACGACACATATCTTACTGAGCACATGTATTCCGCATGTGGCTGTGTCTGATCAGAACATTATGCATATTATATTCGACGCAACAGGTGCAAACGCCCACCTCGTTCGTCGGCATGTCCGGATACGTGGGGGCGACATGTGGCGAGAGCCCGGAGCGCACTACCCGCTCGCTTATTGCCTGTATCAGCACTTCCAGGAGCTCGGTGCAATGAATAAATCCATTCCGTTCAAGGGCATCGCTCAGGCAAAATGCATGCTTCGAACAAATAGAAGATTGCAGGTCGTCTGACCGAGTAGCTTCACCTTCGCAGTCGTGAGAGCCGAAGCTGTGCGACGCGCGCGATGTGTGTCAACAGGTGGCAAGGTAAGCGAAAATCTTCAGAAACATGTGCATGGCCGCTCTCGTTGGAGTCAATACTCGATGACGTGCTGCGTTCATCGTGGCATGCACGGACCCCCACAAGACGGCTCGATGTGGCCACACGGCTCCCAAAATCATGCCCAGAAGAGGCCAAACTCACTGCCTCCTCCTAGGTCGTGATGGTTCTTCATGCTCGCCGTCTTCTGACTTGACAGCGTGCGCTGCTACAGAGTGTCGGGGATTTGTATCCAGGCCAAGCGCCTTGAGTCGAAGCTTCCAAGGGCATCGAGGAACCCTGCAGCAAATTAGAAGTTCCCTCGGGGTTCCTCGGCGTGTGGGCTAATTGTCCCTCCCCAAACCCCTTCCCCGGGAGCCTGGCCCGGTATGTTTGGGGGGGTGGAGGGGGGGCGAACAGCGCGGGGGGGGTCATCTGAGGGCCACTTGCTCCAAACCTGCAGCTTGAGCTGCCACAGTTGCTCCAAATGGCTGCACATGGCCTCCAATGTCGCGCGCCCAGGAGCGTCTCGGACACAACACGAGGCCCAGAGGTCGCCTCCAGAGGGGCCACCCCAAAGAGGCCCCACACGCCGCGCGAGGGGGCCCACGACGCCAGAGGTGGGAGGAGGGGAGAGGAGGCGAAGGGAGCGGCTGCCACGCCGCAGCTCGCGGCTCACTCGAGGGGGGGGGGGGAGGAGACCGCAGCTCGCGAGAGTCAGCACCCGGCCAGGGGTGGCCGGGGTCATGGGCCACGAGATCATGGGCGCCGGGCAAGCTGGAGGCGCCGTCGCAGGCGCGGGGCCCGCGGGGGCCAGCCCGCCTTCAGAATCTCGGCCTGCTCGGCGGTCACATGCAAGAAGCTGAGGGGGGCAGTCAGCTTCTTGACTTGCTCGAATTGGGGAGTTCCAATCTCAAAGAAGTCGATGGCCTTGGGGACAACCTCCGAGCATATGAGCAATAGTCTCACCCCAATGAACTTTTTATTTGCGTCGTGTTCCCCTTTTGCTCTATCACCGAGCTTTTCTGATATAATGGTTGTCCTGGTCATGATAAGCATATTAAGGATGCTGAGCATAGTCAGCGCTGCGAAAGTGAGGCCAACTGCTCCATTGAATGCTTCCTCCATGTCCTCCAACCATTGCACGAAGCCGTCGTCATCGTTATTCCTGAGTATGGCGGTCTGAATAATCGTGCAAAGTACTATCACGACGGCTGCCCGCACCATACCAGCAATCCGTTGCCCATCATGCCAAGCAAACTGGGCTCCATGGCTTTGGAGTGCCTTACTGTGACGTATGTTGTAGCACGTACCCTCGACCCACAACTCTGAAATGCCCGACAAGCATCGGCACCAAACAACGGCGCACAGCAAATCGGACGCCCGCCCCAATGCAAACCTACTCACGGCACGGGCGGGGAATTGGAGAGACACGTGCACTTGTTGCGGAGAATATGCAACCGCATATGGTTCAACAGAAATTCGGCCCGGAGCAGCTAGGGCCACTGGCATACAGTCGAAGACCTGCTGGATGGGACCCTGGGCCAGAGCCAAAATCTTTTTGGGGCTTCAGTTGGGCTGGGTGCACAACGAGCGGCGCGGGAGAACACAGTGGAATAACTCAAGGAACATCGAGACGATTCCGAATCCCAAGCAAACCTTCTTCCAAAGGTTCGACTGGAGTGAGGTTTGGCCTCCTCTTCGCTGCCCCTGCGCCTGGGAAAGAATCGAGAGGGAGGGGTCTCACTATCCTCATGGTATGGGCTGTCTCGTAAGCATAGCTCAAAGTGTGGGCCCCAACCCCGTACCTCCCAACAGCGCGGCTTTACAACCATCGACACCCAGGCTGACCGTGAGTGTCCCGTGCCCATTAATTTCCTAGCGCCGTCAAGCAGGAGACAAACATGATGAGAGGTTGTCGCCCTCCTCCTCCTCCTCCTCGTCCTCCTCCTCCTCGCCCTCCTCCTCCTTGTCCTCATCATCGTGTTCCTTCCTCTGCGGCCCAAGGGCTCCTGAGTGGGTCCCCGCCCCCGTTGCACAGGGGGACCCCCGGGCCTTGGGGTCAAGGTCCGACGTCTCACCGCCACCACAACCCGGGCCAGTCCCTTGTCAGGACCGATTCGAAGGTACTCCAGCCGAGGCTGTGCACCTGCTTCCTCCCTCCCTACCTCCTCCCTGCCTGCCTGCCTGCCTGCCTGCCTGCTCCTCCTCCTCCTGTCCTTCTTTCCCTCCTTGTATGCCCAGGGCCTCCCTTCCATATTGATCGCATTTCGATGGGCTTGCCGCGAGGCGTAAATCATGATGTAGAGCCAAATACCAATGAATCCTCCGTTGCGGATGAGGCTCTTGTACTCCTTGGCGAGATTAAGCAACTCCACGTCAGAGTGGCCTTTCATTAACGAAGTATCCGTAAGTCCGCTAACCCTGGGGTATCGACGCGTGACGCTATCCTTTCCCACAAGCAACAGCACAGACAGGTAGGACTGTAAAGAAACCATGGCAAACATGCTTGCCTTGGTTCTCAAGCACATTGGCTTGTCAGAATGCCGATGAAAAACACAAGCTCTTGATACCTTGGGCAAGACCCCACCTCTCTAGGGCTTTTCCTCCGCTGGCCCCAAGGACGCTATGGACTCGCCCAGGAAAGCTCCACCTCGCGCAAACCTGGCCATCGGCCCCTACTGGACATCTCGTCGGCGATCACAGAACGCGTCAAGAAGGCCTGAATACCTTCCTTGGCGGCACAGTGCCCCCCCCCCCCCCCTCCAGGATTGTCCGACGAGCCTGTACAGCATCCTGACAAGCCCCCCAAAAAAGAAGGCATTCAAGAACAGAAACTCCTGCTAACCACTGTCAGGATGCAGGAGGAGGAGGAGGAGGAGGAGGAGGAGGAGGAGGAGGAGGAGGAAAGGGAGGAGGGGAGGAGGAGGAGGAGGAGGAGGAGGAGGAGGAGGAGGGAGGAGGAGGAGGAGGAGGAGGAGGAGGAGGAGGAGGAGTCCTCTGGTGCGTTCCGTGGTATGTCACCAGACACGTTCCCTGACCCGCCCCCTGTCGAGTGCCCAGGAACAGTGCGGGGGCACGGGAGGCCCTGCGAGGCCACGAGTCGACAACTGCAGCACAAGGGAATTCCTTGGAGGCAACGAGAACGATGACCATGACCAAGACTGAGAGCGGAAACGTCCGCGCCGATCTTGGTCACCCTCCAGCTTGGTCACCGTCGGCGCGCAGATCGTCCTCGATCATCGGCGACGGTCGGCGTGGACCATGACCAAGTTCGGCGTCGAGCGAATCCTGCGACACCTTGGTCATAGCCAGTGTGCCAGTGTTTTCTTCCTTCGATGCATCACTTCGGAGGAGGAGGAGGAGGAGGAGGAGGAGGAGGAGGAGGAGGTCGGGCCCCAGAGCTCCGCGCGGCAGGCCACCGAGTGCGCAGCAACGAGCCCGGCGTGGGGCCGCCCTCGCCGAAGCATGGGGGCCCGCCAAGGCGGTCCAGGCGGACCCCCCTTTGAAAAGCACTTCGGGCGCATCTGCGGCCGCCCACGACGGCCCCCGGGCAACGTTCGAGAGAGAAACATCTACAGTATGGGGCCCGACCGCAAGAAGCCTCCCACAAGAGACCCAACCCTGAGACCCCAGGACGTCCATGGATTGTCGGTGTGGGAGCGTCACGCTTTCCATGGCAAAGCCATCGAAGCCGAAGAAACCCAGGGCACCCTGGAGGCAAGCAAGGTGCTTCTTGGCATGGGCCTCCACTGTACATAAACGTCAACTCTCGGAGCTCCGCGCTGATCTCTTGGATCAGAGCCGGGGTTCCCCCGGCGGCGCCTCTGGCTCTGCCGCAGGCGCGCTCCGCGCGCCAGGGAGGGGGGTCCAGCGCCGATCCGAGAAATCTGCGCGAAGCTCGGAACATTTATGTTGATGGAATTGTTCTTCCTCGAAGTGTCCGCCCCGATGCAATTCCTACACCGTCCAAAACTTTACGAAGGTGGCTCCAAGATTTCCAGGCGGCGTCCAAACAGTCCGAGGACACTCTTCGACAGCCCAGAGACACCCCAAGCGGCCCCAGCAGCCCCCGAAAGCCCTCCGAAGTCCCGCGTAGGTTTGCCGAAGAGGCCACCAAAGAGCTCCGACGATGCCCCTAAGAGGCGATCCAACCGCTATGCAACGCAAGCGCGGTGGTGCCTGTGCACGGCAACGCCCCACTTGACGCAGAGGCGACAAGTGCACACATCAGTGCAAACTCAGAGTCCTCAGAAGTGGATTGAACAACTATGCATGGAGCAACCTTGGCGGGCGCATGGGGGCACGTGGGAAGGCTGGCTGCTGTCTCATAGACGATCACCATCAATACACGGATGGAGGTCGGAAACAAATGCATAAACTGAGCTGGTCGAAACGGGTACGGCGCAAGCAAATGCAAGAAGACTACGCCCACGACATTGAATGTCCACGCATGTCCACAAGTGTTGTTCAGGGACCTGGTACCGTGTGGGCAGTAGACGTGGCTGGGCAGCCTATCGCATAATGAACTTGTCAGCCGAGTGAATGCGTAGACGGCTGTGAACTGAAACATGGTTGCAATCTGGAGGTCCTCCTTCACGTACATGAACTCAAGCCTGGATACTATGTATTAATCCAGGTGCTCAACATTCGATCTAACACGCGTGGCACCATCGCCTAAAACGTGCTACAACCTTTCTCCCACAGGTCTGAACCAACGCAAAACAGCGAGTGCGAACACATACGTAGCTTACGCAGTCAACAAATAACTACAGCATGTTGCACGGACACCGCATCAAACAACATCTTGAGGTCCGCAGACAAGCCAGACCACCTCGCCTTCGAGCGCATTCGTAACTACAATCTGCTGAGATGGAGGATCTCCTTGAAGGAGCAAGTCCATCCATTATCCGCCATACCCTCATGGAGGTCGTCTTGGCGACATCAACAGAGAGAGGCAAACGGCGACCGTGAACCAGCGGGAAACCCGAGCCATGAGTTCGACACTGGAATTATGAACACTTCGTAGAAACTCATGTCCTCGGAAAGTGCATCACATCCGTCTCTCGGGGGAAAGCCATGGAAAGCAGGGGCGCTGAAACTTGTGCAAACCGAGCAAGCGAAACACTAATCAAGATATCATGCCTGAGACACCTGGTACGCAAATCCCGCAGAGGGCATGGCATCACAAGCATGCGGCTCCGAAGCGCAGCAGACAGACACGCACAAATCCGGCGAGGACCTGGCCCGTTCAGGCCCTGTGAGATCAGAACACGGCCGCGCCGCCGGGCCCCCTTCGCAAACCGACAACGTCGAGGCAAACACCCATCAATCCACATGACCGTGGCTCCGATAGCTGCGTCCCGTGTTGGCTGCCGCGTACGTGTGCGGGGAGGCGACGCGCAGAAGGGTAAGGAAATGTCACGCTCCCCAGCGGTGGGATGAAAAGGGGAATGCGACTACCATGCCGACGTGCAAGAGGGAGAGGACACGTGCGGAGAGTGGTGTCGGCCTCTGCTTGCCGCTGGACACGGGGGTCCCCATGCAGTAAGGTGAGCCTTCCTCCCGCAGATCCAATCACTGCCCCAGGCCAGGGCGCACAGACTACCAAAACAAGTGCAGAAACCGCGGCAGTGTCGGCTCACCCGGGAGGTATCGGCTTCGTGGCCCCAGGCTTCCTCTCTGCCGCTCTTCCGCATCCTCCTCCACCTGATCCTCCGCCGTCTCCTCCTCCTCCTCCTCCTCCTCCTCCTCCTCCTCCTCCTCCTCCTTGTTTCCTTCTCTTCAACCCATCGTCATCGTAAGCAACTCGTTCACCCTGTGCTCCTCCTCCTCGACCTCGTCCACCTCGTGCTCTTCTCCATCTCACCACTACACGTGCCGACTCTCATAGCGAGGCCTAGAGAGAACATTGCAGCAGACCGTGGAGATCCTCTGCCACTCCTCCCATTCACATCTCTGAGACCCTCCCTCTCCCATCGCACCGTCAGGATGAGGAGATAATGTCGCTCACCGCTGCGCAAGGTAAAAACACTGAGCGGAGGGAAGCAAATGGAAGGCATACACACATAAAGTAATTGCCGTGCTGGTGGAGGCAAAGAGGGTGAGGGGTGAGCGCTCCGAGTTTCGGGTGAAAAAAGCTTCGATACACCAGAAACTCCTCATTCGCGGCGCTGGACCTGCAGTGCCTGAGTGCAACCGCGAAGCGGTGCGAATGGCCCACACGCTGATGTTCGCGAGGAGCACTTCTATGGAGAACCTGCCGCTTCGGTTCCCTCTCCCAATGAAGGCAATCTGCACCAGCTGACCAACTGCTGCCCTCTGGGTGTCGCACCATGGCAGCCCTGCGAAGGACGACGGCAGGAAGCGTGGGACGGCAAGCGAAGGGCGCGTGCCACTTCCCGGCTTGCCCGAGGGGGAGGCAAGAGCCGCTCTAGACGGTCCAAGAGGGCCACGAGTCGCCAGAACACCGCCCCATGACGCCGACGATGGCCTCCAGACGGCCTCCGCAGCCCCCAAGACATCCCAAGATGCCCCCAAGATGCGCCCCAAAAGGGTCCCCAGATGCAAAAATGGTCCCGTTCCCTTCGTAAAACGTACATTTTCAAGAAATTCGCCTTGTCGGCTTTCCGACGCTCCAAGATGGCCCAAGAAACCCCGGAGACCGCCCCAAGAGGCCTCCGAGAGGGCCCCAAGACGGCCCAGGAGGCGCCCAAGACGGCCCAAGAGAGCCCCAAGACGGGCCCAAGAGAGGACCCAGAGGGGGACCACGAACCGAAAGTTTGAGCGCTCCGCCCCAAGAGGCCGTCAAGAGGCCCCAAGATGCCCCTAAGAGGCCACAAGGGGCCCCCACGAGGCCCCCCAAGAGGCCACAGGAGGCCCTCAAGAGGCCCAAAAGAGGCCCCAAGAGGCTCCGAAACGGCCCCCAAGAGGCCTCGAACCTGCCTCCAAGAGGCCCCCGAGAGGCCAACCACGAGATCCCGACCAACATCCATGAGCCATCTATCGTCGTCGTCGTCGTCGTCGTCGTCGTCGCCTTTTGCACCCCCATGTCCTACTCAGCGTCGTCGTCCTCCTCCTCCTCCTCCTCCTCCTCCTCTTCCCCGTCCCCCACCACCTTCTCATCCTTGGACTCTTCTTCCCCCTCCCCGTTTCGGCCGACGTGCCTCAAATGGTACCACTTGGGGCCTGTACCTTCTGGCCCGCAAGCCAGGCCCCAAGGGTCCACGCCACGCGGAGCACCCCGCGAAACATCCCACGAAATACCAGATGTAACACAACGCAAAACACACCACGAAACACTAAACGAAACACCCCACGAAACACTACACGGGATACCCAACGAAACATCCCACGCAACCCTCCACGAAACCACGAAACACTCCACGGGATACGCCACGAAAGACCCCACGAAACTTTCCGTGAAACGCACCACAAGAGGGGTCCAAGAAGGCACAAAGACGGCCCAATAAGCCAGGAAAACAGTCAAAGAGGGTTCTGAGACGGTTCCCAAAGGAAGCCTAGAAAGCAAGTCTTGAAGCTCTCGGCCCCATTATGCCTTAGGTCGCCCAAAGAACCTCCCACGACGCCCATGGAGCCCCAAGACAGGCCCAACAGGTTCTGGGTCCCCAGGACGTCCCCGACGGGCCTCACATTACCCTGGCGACGTACCCAACCCCTGCGTAGTGCGGGGCAGGAGTAGCTTGGGAGGCTTGACGAAAAGCGGCGACGTGACATGGACGCATATACTTCTGCGAGCGGCATCCGGAAGGTTCACAGTTTCCAATCAAGGGGGACACGACGAGTAACTAAGTTAACCCCTGAATCACTAAGGCAGACGCAAGGTCAAAAGGGAGACGGTGGGCAAGGGGCTTGAAACGTCGGCGGGACAGCAACAACATGACATGGCCACCCAAGGACAACGAGGCCCTGCTCAGGTCTGCGCAGTGCCTCACCCCGCCGGACCCAGCAGCAGCCCTCGAAAGTTGCGAGCCCGCCAGCAGCCCTCGAAAGTGGCGACAATTTCGCAGATCGCAGCCCCCCAGGGACGGCGAGCTACCGCTCAGACCTGCGCGGTGCCTCACTCCGCTGGACTCACCAGCAGCCCTCGAAAGAGACGACAATTTCGCAGATCGCATCCCCCCAGGGACGGCGAACTACCGCTCAGATCTGCGCGGTGCCTCACTCCGCTGGACCCACCAGCAGCCCTCGAAAGTGGAGACAATTTCGCAGATCGCAGCCCCCCAAGGACGGCGAGCTACCGCTCAGACCTGCGCGGTGCCTCACTCCGCTGGACCCACCAGCAGCCCTCGAAAGTGGCGACAGTGTCGCAGATCACAGCCCCGCAGGGACGGCGAGCTACCGCTCAGATCTGCGCGGTGCCTCACTCCGCTGGACCCACCAGCAGCCCTCGGAAGTGACGACAATTTCGCAGATCGCAGCTCCCCAGGGACGGCGAGCTACCGCTGAGATCTGGTGCATCAGGCTGCTGGACCCACCAGCAGCCGTCGAAAATGACGACAATTTCGCAGATCGCAGCCCTCCAGGGACGGCGAGCTACCGCTCAGATCCGCGCGGTGCCTCACTCAGCTGGACCCACCAGCAGCCCTCGAAAGTGGCGACAATTTCGCAGATCACAGCCCCCCAGGGACGGCGAACTACCGCTCAGACCTGCGCGGTGCCTCACTCCGCTGGACCCACCAGCAGCCCTCGAAAGTGGCGACAATTTCGCAGATCGCAACCATCCAGAGACGGCGAGCTACCGCGCAAATCCGGGCGGTGCCTCACTCCGCTGGACCCACCAGGAGCTCCGAAAGTGGCGACAATTTCGCAGATCACAGCCCCCCAGGGACGGCGAGCTACCGCTCAGATCCGCGCGGTGCCTCACTCCGCTGGACCCACCAGCAGCTCTCGAAAGTGGCGACAATTTCGCAGATCGCAAACCCCCAAGGACGGCGAGCTACCGCTCAGACCTGCGCGGTGCCTCACTCCGCTGGACTTACCAGCAGCCCTCGAAAGTGGCGACAGTTTCGCAGATCGCAGCCCCCCATCGTCGGCGAAGAGAGGGCAGGAGGAGGGAGGAGGCGGGCGGAGGAGGAGAAAGACGCTACCGCGATGCTCTATTCAAAACGAATACCTAACCAAGGAGTGTTGGGAACAAGAAGGAGGGGGGGCGGGAGGCGGGAGGGGGCCTATTCAAAACGAATGCTCAACCAAGGAGGGTTGAGAAAAGCTACCCCTGCAGCCCTCGGTCCCAACATGCCCCCAAGTTGCCTGAAGAACCTCCCAAATGCCCACGAGAGCCAGAACAGGTTCCCAAGAGGCCCCCATGACACTCCCGTGAGACCTCTCATGAGATCACATCAGCCATCCGAATGGCCTCAGACCCCGTGAATCTTGCTGGAATGTTCGGCCCTGGTCGGGTTTAGACGTTGGAGGTCTGGAAATTCGCACCAACACCAACACAGGGGGGTGACTCCACTGGGGGAAAATGATCCAAACATTGGTACTGGTAATCCGTCCGCCGACCCCCGCATGTTGGGGGTTACAAGGAGCGTGAAATAATTGTCTGTCCCTCCTCCCCCGTCCCCCTTCCCCCGGGGTCCTGAATCTCATTTGAGCCCCCCCCCCCCTCTCCCCAAGACGGCCCCCTGACCGTCCAAGATGGCCCCCTGACGGCCCATGAAGGCGCCGCGGACGGCCCAGGAGGGCTCCCACAGGCCCCGTAGACGCTCCCAAACGGCTCCCAAAGGACCCCCTACCGGAGCCATCCCTGGCTTTGTCCCACAAATGCGCCTTGGCCAGAATTCTGGAACCGGTTGCAACCGCGGCGAAGAGGAGCCCCCTCGAGACCCAGAAACAAAGGACAGCGCAAGAATGCTCCGACCCATTGACGGCCTCCAGGCGAGTCAATCTCTATACTCCCCCCCAGGAGCCCGAAACCGAATACTCACCCCCCCCCCTGGACAGGAGCGAGCCCGGCACCACAAACCAGCAGCGCAACATGATGCCCTAAGATGCATCCAGGAGGCCCCGAAAACGCGCCGAGAAGCCCCGAACACGAACCCGAAGCGCTTTCAAAACGGCTTTCAAGAGATCATGCCCCAAAAAGGGGTCGGCGGATGTGGCGTAAGCCTATAGAATCATGGTCCTCACCATCCTTGCAACCAACCAGTCTTCACACGTTTCATTCCGCCACGCTGTCATCAACGCAACGACGCGGTTTTGATCACACATCCCATCAATAACCACGTTGTGGAGTTGTTAGGATTCTGTCTGGGAGTTTCTGGGATTCCTGGACACTCAAACGAGTCTCGTGAGCCCCTACGCGACCAGTCATTGAGTCATAGCTTATCGGTTGCTGCCTAGTCAACCCCAAACTCGAAGTTGCAACTGACCCTTCTGTGATGCATCCCCATCATTGCCTTTCTCCACTCACTTCTGCTCACCAATCTGCTCCTTCATCTTCTAATGCAACTTGAGAACGCAGCTGGAAGCGCCACAATCCACAACAACCAATTGACCCGCTTGGGTACATGCCAGCTGTAGGACTGATAATCCTCATGGTCGATGGCTTTACGGTGGGACGGGATGACCAGGAGCACCATGGCATGGTACATGCTGATGGCGACCACCAACACTCCTGAAGCATGCTGCGCCACCCGCGAACTGCCCCGTGCACACAACCCGGGCCATCGCCAGCTCAATTCTCGAGCGCTGGCTTCCCAGGATCCATCTCTCTCTCTCTCTCTTTTTTTTTTGTTTTCTCTCTCTCTCTCTCTCTCTCTCTCTCTCCTGACACCAGACACTGCTGGCGCACATGTCCGCGTATGATTTCAGTCAGCGGAGAAGAAGACCAGCTGTGCAAGTGCCGCACCAGAGGCGGCCCACGCCTGGCCGAAGAGCTCCTTCACCACGCCTGTCGTTTTACCTGTACCTCAACCGCTACTTTGACTGGGACTATGGCGTTGGCCAAGTAGTTCTGGCTCTCGCAATTGGACTCGGGCTTTTATGTTTCTCTCGCTTTCCTCCTGGCTCGATCTGCACACCTACATCTGCATCGACCCCTGTCGATTCCTTTGTAAATCCCCTCGTCTAAGCGCTCTCACATGTCATGCATGTGGAGGCGACTTATGAATTTGCTGTGTCGTGGTATTCACTAGTCAGTGCTTGAACTCAAGGGTACTGGCTGGCTTTGCAAGGAGCAAGTGCCCCAGTGGCGGGTATCCAACCAATACAGCCATAGAATTATGGTCGTCGTCGCCGCCAACAAAGCTCCATCATTCCCGCAGATCCGGTTCCATGCGCGTGGGGCACCAGACGCTTAGGGCTCAAAGAGTAAGATCCCGCACGCACCGGACTCCGCACACACACACACATAGAAAAATTCCGCAAATTCTCCCCCCCCCCACGCAAACATGATTGTACACACCAGATTCCATATTTTTTTGGCGTCGCCCCACGCGTACAACGACGCGACGGAAGCAGTCGGAGAAGCACCCGGAAAACGGCCGAGGCAACAGAAGCAGCCAGGGACCCACACGGACCAACAAGGAACACAGGGTTCACCCTTCTGTTTAGCAGCACCCTCCCCCTCTGGTCCATCAAGCTCGCCCCATCCTCCCTCGAGATGGGCGAGGTACCTTGAATAACGATGTTGCTCATTTCTCTTGTCGCGGGGCGATTGGTCATGGTTGCGGAACGGGCGTGTGCACGCATGCACGCGCACGAGGTGTGCGAACATTAAACATGTTGCGCACACGAGCGGGAGTCTCGAGCGAGGCAGCGGACCAATGAGGGGACGAGCTCGGGGGGAAAGGGGGCAGCGAGGAAGCGCAGCGACATGGCCAATGGTGGACCGCGAGGGGCCGACAAATACGGCGCGGTGAGAACGACGGACCTCCAGGCAGGACCATGAGCCGGAAAGGCGACGGAAGGACGGTTCCATGCACTTCTCCTCCTCCGGCAGAGTGACGGCACCGTCGCGAATGATAGCAAGGGGCACGAACTACCGTAGTTGAGCTGCACCCAGCAAGCCAGCGGAAGCCCGCAAACTGGCGTGGACAGGATCAACTGCACCCAAGGCTGTGGATCAAGGGCAAGCTGTGGCCCCTCCTGCCAGCGTGCAGGCGGGCTGCTGCGAGCCCGGGCGTGGAACAGGAGCGCCCGCGCAGCGGGGAGCGTGCGCGCAGGCGGCAAGAGGGCGGACTGTATGAGCGGCACCGCCGCGGGCAGAGAGGCACGAAGCCGACGGGCACCAGCGGAGAGCCGCGTGCGGCGTCGTCGTCGCGCCGCCGTCGCCGCCGCGCCGCCCAGCACGCGCGGGCCAGCCGCTGCGGGGAGGCGGCAGGACGACCCAGCGGAGAGCCCGCAGCGTGGCGCCCGCGTGGGCAGCATCGCCGCGGGCCGGGGGAGAGGCGCGAAGGCCGAAGGCACCAGTGGAGCCCGCAGCACGGCCAGCGTGGTGGTGTGCCGCAGAGGGGGTCCCGGGTGGCATCTTGAGCCCCTGCGCAGCCCAGGCGGGCGCCGATCGCTGCTGTGGCCACGTGCTCCCCTGCAGATGTGAGGCCCTCGCCGCGGGCGTGGCACTGTCTCGCTATCGTGAGAGAGCATTTGTCCCCCCTGGTGCGCCAGTGGAATGAGGAGCATACGCCACTGTTTACAAAGACCCCTCCCCTCTCAGGCCCTCCTCCTGCAGCGAGGAAGGCTGCCAGAATGAGCCAGGGTGGCTTCGTCCACATCGCAGCCTTTCCAGAAAATGCCTGCTCGCCCCGTTAGTCGCTCCTCCTCTTCCTCCTCCTCTTCCTATTCCTCCCCCTCCTTCTCCTACACCTCCTCCTCATGCTCCTCCCCCTCGCTCCTCGTCGTACTCGTCCTCCTCCCCCCGCCCCCCCTCTCACGGTGTCCTCCCTCTCCCTCTCTCTCTTCTTCCTCCTCCTCCTCCTCCTCCTCCTCCGCCTCCTCCTCCTCCTCCTCCTCCTCCTCCTCCTCCTCCTCCTCCTCCTCTCCACCTCCTCCTCCCGCAGTCCTCGAGCCCGAGCTACCCAGGACCCTGCAATGCCCCATGCCCAGTCCAATCCCCACGGTCCTGCTATCTGGCCGAACACGTTGGCGGTCGTGACAAAAGTGCCGACGCTGAGCCCCGCCTCGAGGTGTAAGGAGCGAGGGTTGGACAAATGCGTGGCTTGGGGTGTTCACGAGATGGGCAGCGTGAAGAGGGGCACACTAGTCAACAACCTCCTCTCGCCTTATTGTCAACCCCGCTGAAGCTGTTCCCCCACTTTTAAGTTCCAACTGGATGATTTCGTCCTCCCTGTGGGGTAGCTACAACCCGACTGGTGGGGACGCAACGCTCCCCATCTGCGATCAAGACATATGCGCCCTCGGCATGATCCACCGACCCGCCCTGTCGGCGTGTGTAAAGTCCTGGGGTTGTCGTTCAGGGGTGGTCCTGGGAATGCGCAGAGACGGGCGCGCGCCGAAGGTGAGCGCGGAAAGGGCCCGCGGCGAAAGCAGACGCGGAAAGACCCGCGCCGAAAGTAAACGCGACAGGGCACGAGCCGGAAGAGACTACCACGCGCCCACCTGCGGCGGCCGCGGCAACCGAGGCTGAGACGGAAGCGCTGCGCAGACGGTGGATCGAGGGCGACCGCGCCCGAGCTTGGGCGGAGGCAACCGAGCGGCGCGGCGCGACAATGAAGTCGCGGGCCGCGCAGAGGGAGCAGTGGCAATGAAGTCACGGGCCGCGCAGAGGAAGCAGCGGCGCCTCGAGCTCGCGGCCAATGCGCAACACTCGAAACGCTGCCAGCGAGCCGCGCTGGTCGACGAGACCCTGGCTGTCGTCGACCAGCTGTGCCGCAAGCACCCGCCCAGTCAACGCACAGTAGACTTGGGCAGCCTCCCAGCTGCCCATGCGGCTGCCGCATTTCGGAGGTGCGCGGCCACCGCAGTAGAGCGGGAGATGCGCTGTTCCCCCCGCGAGTCCGCAGCCAAACATACTGGCCTGCGGCTGCAATACTCCAGATTTCGTAATAAAGGGAGGGGGGTCTCATTTCGGGGGGGGTCTCTTCCAGGCTGTCTTGGAGGGCCTGAGGGGGTCTGGGGACGATGTTTTGGAGGGTTCTCCCAGGGGGGGGGGTCTAAAACTTCTCGTCTGGGAGGGTTGAGACCCCCTCCCTTTTATTACGAAATCTGGAGTACCTAAATGGCGCCCTTCAACCACCAGCCCACGTCCCTGAGCAGCTCATGAGCTACGCTGCCGCGAGCGCGGCGTCATCTCAGGACGCGTCGGCGAGCCGTCTATCAAGGGCCGCGGAAGCGCGGCGTGCCTCCCACCATCCTCCGCCGTGCGCCTCGCATGCCTTTCATCAGGAGGCCCGCTTCGGAGCAGCAGCAGCGATCTGGTCCTGATGGACGCGCTTGCGCTCCTCGTCGCGGTAAGAAAGCGCGCCCGCCCCCTCGTCCGAAGTCGCGGGCAAGTCCACGCGGAGCTCGCTGGTGATGGCAAAATCCAAGGCCGCAAGCACGCCGCTGCGCCCCCGCGCGACCTCGCTACCTGGAGGGATGCACCGCTGGGGGCGCGAGGCGACAGGAAATCAGGGCGCTCGAGCGAGGCTCCCACGTAGCCCCCCGTTGCCAGCGCGTCCTGCCAAGCTCGGTCGCGGAGGCGATTGTGTCGCTCGGCGAGGTCGCCGCGGCAACTGCGCGTGAAGGCGTGGTCTGCAAACGCGTCCACGAATGCCCTGCGCGCCGGGCAAACGCCACCTCATCGAGAATCGAGAACCTGGTGCCTGAAGCGTTTCTGGAGAATCGTCAGCATCAGACCGCGAGGGAAGCAAAGTCGTTGCAGATCGCTGGGCGGGGGCGAGGGCCTGGCCCCCAGAGGTCTGGACCCGTTCCCGGGGACCGGCTTCTCATCCCGAGTCGCTTTTGACGGCCCCGAGGCCTGGTAAGGGGGCCGAGACTGGCGACAGACCTCCCGCCGTGACTCTTTCGGGTCGGGCGAAAGGGGGAGATAGCAAAGGGGGGGTTTGAGAACCAGCTCACGTAGCTGAATTTCCCAGCGCCTCCCAGCGCCGGAGGCGGCCATGTATCGAGGAATGGGCCCCTCCCTCTGTGGGACCGAAACCAGCTGCATGCAGCAAATTTCGTACCCCCCCCTTTCCCACCCCCCCCCTTTCGTCCGGCCCGACTCTTGCACAGCGCGAGGGGGTCCAGGAGCACCGCGGGGGCATCTTCGGGGGCGCTCGGGCCGCGGGAGCGGCCGGCCGCAGGGCCACGCGCGGGGCCACAGACGGTGCGGAAGCCACAGCTCAACACACGACTAGCACAACCCCCCCCCCCCCCACAGCGAGCAGGACGGCGGCGCTACGTGCGTGCTGACTCCCGTGCCTCTCGGGGGACCGCCTGGACCTCTCGGAGCCTGTGTTCTCTGGGCCCCCCCCCCCGGGGCCCCCGGGGACGCCCTCGGGGGTCCGCGTGCGCTCCTCCTCGAAGCTCGGGGCCGGGCTCGCACGCGGGGGGGCGGGGCCCCGCCCCGGGGCGCCCCGAGCCCCGAGCGCGGGCCTCCCCGCGGGCGGGCTCGTGCCACGGTGCCTCTCCCGCCGGCGGGGGCCGCCAGTGCCGGGCCGGGCCGGTCCTCCTGCAGGCGGGCTGTGGGTTAGGTGCACCGGGCGTGGTCGAAACACGTGCTCAGACATGGTCGACACGTGATCGCAAGCTCGTTCCCAGACGGTGTTGTAGCTGTTCTTGGGTATTCCTCCTGCAGAGGGGCACGCCCGACTTGATGCTGAGGCGAGGGGGAATGTTAGGGCTGGGACAGCCCCGAAAGGGGAGAGACTCGCGAGTCTGGAACAAGTGGGTGGCGCCCCTCAGAGGGGGCATGTGTCATCCTGGCGGGGATGAGGAGCCCGCCAGGTCCGCGACAGGGCGCCACCAATATTGCTGCTCCTCGGCCTGGGCTTCACGAGCCCGAACACGTTCGCGCAGGGGGGCTGCTAGGGCGGGGGGACCAGCTCATGGGGAGGACCACCGAGCTGGAATCGGCGATACATCGCCGATACACATCGGCGATAGGCCCCCGATAGCGACACCGCACAGCCCTGCGCAGGGCGTTCTTCCCATGAGCCTATCCCACCTGAGCGTTGCCCGCCATAAGGGTGTCCCTAGCCCCCTCTGGGCCTCGTGACGGGTGCTCTGGACACCCCTGGCAACACCCGAACTCCTGCGCTGGTTTCTGACACCCAATGGATCGCTGAGGAGGAGGAGGAGGAGGAGGAGGAGGAGGAGGAGGAGGAGGAGGAGGAGGAGGGGGAAGGGGAGGGGAGGAGGAGGAGGAGGAGGAGGGAGGGAGGAGGAGGAGGAGGAGGAGGAGGAGGAGGGAGGAGGAGGGGGAGGAGGAGGAGGAGGAGAGGGAGGAGGAGGCTGAACCATCGCGGCTTCCCCAAGGCGAAAGTCGCCCGGATACGGGCCGATGCTGGGCCACAGCCGGCCGTCAGCCCGGAGCGCCCGCGGCACTGGGGCCGCCGCAGCGTCGACACGGCGCGAGTCAGCCGTGCGCGCTCGCCGGCCTGCCCTCCCGCGGCCCCCTGCCTCGCCCGGGGGAAGGGGCGAGCAAACCAGGCCATTCGAGAACGAAGGCCTCGATTGACTGGGCTCTCCCGCCAGGAGAGGGCGCAGTCAAGGGAGGCTGCACGGCGATGGTGGGGTCCACGAGGTGGTGTGTCCAGACTGCCTGCGCCCAAACCCTCCCGCCTCGAATTCCTCGAACGTCACGTTCCCGAGCGTCGACAACTCGAACATCTCTCGCAGATTATCCTCCCTCGCCTCAGCAGAGACGAAGAGGATATCTTTCATGAATACCACCAGGGATACGGCCTGACAGATCCGCAGGGGAGGGCTCCTCAGGTTCTGAGGTCCTTCCTTCAAAGGCCGTATGGCATCGCAGCAGAAGAGATGCATGACTCCTCTATCCGCCGCCCCCGTCTTGACGACGATGAACCCAGCGCGGCCCCAATCCCACCGGCTCTCTGGGCGTAGGTAGTTTGGGAAGTCAGCTCTTCCACCCCTGTCTTCCCCGGATATGGGTCTACCCTTCCTCCCTCCTCCCCTGTGGTCTGGACGTTAGAGCGTCCAGCATGGCACTAGATGGCTCCAGGAAGGACTCATATACGCCACGATGATCTCCAAGATGGCACAAGGTAGCTCAGCTTGGACCACGAGCCTTTAGCATGCCTCCGAGAGGTCCCAAGACTGCTCCAAGACGACTCCGAGTAGATACGGAGCCTCCCAAGGATGACCCCGAGTGGTACATATCCGTCAAAAACGACCACGATACAACCATGTGGAATTTCATGCATTCGATTCGGATCCGTTTCGCGGAACCCTTCAATTATCCTGGCGAAGGTCTCAAACATATGCAGTTGTGGGTACCGTAATTGTGAATATCTGCTTCGGTGAAGCTGCCTATGGGGCCACGAAGCGCTGTACTGGGCGGGGGAACGCTGTACTGTGTGGGCGGTGTGCCGAATTGGGTTTCCGGGACGCATGCGGACGGTCCCACTGAGGGCTTCGGTGGAGCTCCCTATGGGGCCACGAAGCGCTCTACTGAGTGAGTGAAAATGCCGAATTGGGTTACCGGGACGCATGCGGACGGTCCCACTGAGGGCCTCGGTGGAGCCCCCTATGGGGCCACGAAACGCTGCACTGCGCGGGTGAAAATGCCAAATTACGCTACCGAGGAACCCCACATACTTAATTTAAATCTTATGTGTTTGCTTGAGTTTATAATCTATGCGCAATTCTGCGTTCTGAGCCCTCGTCGCGACGCCATATTGCTTGAACCTCCTCCCTCTTCCTAGCCTTCTATCCTCCATCGAGGACAGATTCGAGCCAGCCAGCGGCCGCGGTGAGGGACCACCCCCTGCGCACCCTCTATGGTGTCGAGAAAGTGCCCTGGACGACCGTCGTGCACAGCGGCCGCGGTGAGGGACCACCCCCTGCGCACCCTCTATGGTGTCGAGAAAATGCCGCGCCTGCTTTGCCCTGGACGACCGTCGTGCATAGCGGCCGCGCTGAGGGACCACCCTCTGCGCACCCCCTGTGGTGTTGAGAAAGTGCCACTCCTGCCACGATCTGCGAGCGTGTCACGGATAGAGGCCGCGCTGAGGGACCACCCTCTGCGCACCCCCTGTGGTGTCGAGAAAGTGCCACTCCTGCCACGATCTGCGAGCGTGTCACGGATAGAGGCCGCGCTGAGGGACCACTCTCTGCGCACCCCCTGTGGTGTCGAGAAAATGCCACTCCTGCCACGATCTGCGAACGTGTCACGGATAGAGGCCGCGCTGAGGGACCACCCTCTGCGCACCCCCTGTGGTGTCGAGAAAGTGCCACTCCTGCCACGATCTGGGAGCGTGTCACGGATAGAGGCCGCGCTGAGGGACCACCCCCTGCGCACCCCCTGTGGTGTCGAGAAAGTGCCACTCCTGCCACGCTCTGCGAGCGTGTCACGCATAGAGGCCGCACTGAGGGACCACCCTCTGCGCACCCCCATGTGGTGTCGAGAATGTGCCGCGCCTGCCACGCCCTGCGAGCGTGTCACGGATAGAGGCCCCGCTGAGGGACCACCCTCTGCGCCCCCCCAGTGGTGTCGAGAAAGTGCCGCGCCTGCCACGCTCTGCGAGCGTGTCACGGATAGAGGCCGCACTGAGGGACCACCCTCTGCGCACCCCCATGTGATGTCGAGAATGTGCCGCGCCTGCCACGCCCTGCGAGCGTGTCACGGATAGAGGCCCCGCTGAGGGACCACCCTCTGCGCCCCCCCAGTGGTGTCGAGAAAGTGCCGCGCCTGCCACGCCCTGCGAGCGTGTCACGGATAGAGGCCCCGCTCAGGGGCCACCCCCTGCGCACCCCCTGTGGTGTCGAGAAAGTGCCACGCCTGCTGTGCCTGGACGACTGTCGTGCATAGCGGCCGCGGTGAGAGACCACCCCCTGCGCACCCCCTATGGTGTCGAGGAAGTGCCACGCCTGCTCGCCTGCCGCATGGCTTGCCGTGTGTATGTGTATGATGCGTGTGCGGCCATATCGGGACATATCTCACGTGTTGCCCAGTATGTCGTGCAGACGTCTTGGGTGTATGATGCAGTGAACATGCGTCTTGTATGTGCGAATGTGTGCATGCGTGCGGCTGTGTGCGAGTGTGTGAGCGAGAAGGAGGAGGTGAGGTGGGAACGCAGGTGTGACGCGGGTGTAGAGAAGGGGAGGTGAGTGAACGCGGGTGCGACGCGGGTGTAGAGAAAATCAGAACCCCACTTAGAATGTGGAGAATTACATTTCCCAGCATACTGACGGTGGCACTGAGGCCTTGGGTGGAGCCCCCTATGGGGCCACGAAGAGCTGTACTGGGTGGGTGAAAATGCGAAATTGGGCTTCCGGGACGCATGCGGACGGGGGCACTGGGGCCTTCGGTAGAGCTCTCTATGGGGCCACGAAGCGCTGTACTGGGTGGGTGAAACGCAGGGAGGAGGGGGAGGAGGGCCACGAATCGCTGTACTGGGTGTGCGGGACGCATGCAGACGGTAGCGCTGGGACCTTCGGTGGGGCTCCCTACGCGGCCACGAGACGCTGTACTGGGTGTGCGGGACGCATGCGGACGGTAGCACCAGGACCTTCGGTGGGGCTCCCTATGGGGCCACGAAACGCTGTACTGGGTGGGTGAAACGCAGGGAGGAGGGGGAGGAAGGCCACGAAACGCTGTACTGGGTGTGCGGGACGCATGCGGACGGTAGCACGGGAACCTTCGGTGGAGCTCCCTCTGGGGCCACGAAGCGCTGTACTGGGTGTGCGGGACGCATGCGGACGGTAGCACTGGGACCTTCGGTGGAGCTCCCTATGGGGCCACGGAACGCTGTACTGGGTTTGCGGGACGCATGCGGACGGTGGCACTGGGACCTTCGGTGGGGCTCCCTATGGGGCCACGAAGCGCTGTACTGGGTGGGTGAAACGCAGGGCGGAGGGGCAGGAGGGCCACGAAGCGCTGTACTGGGTGTGCGGGACGCATGCGGACGGTAGCACTGGGACCTTCGGTGGGGCTCCCTATGGGGCCACGAAGCGCTGTACGGGTGTGCGGGACGCATGCGGACGGTAGCACTGGGACCTTCGGTGGGGCTCCCTATGGGGCCACGAAGCGCTGTACTGGGTGTGCGGGACGCATGCGGATGGTAGCACTGGGACCTTCGGTGGAGCTCCCTATGGGGCCACGAAACGTTGTACTGGGTGTGCGGGACGCATGCGGACGGTAGCACTGGGACCTTCGGTGGGGCTCCCTGTGGGGCCACGAAGCGCTGTACTGGGTGCGCGGGGCGCATGTGGACGGTAGGGAGGAGGGGGGGGGGCGCAGGGGGGCACGAGAGGAGGAGAACGCGGGGACCGTCTCTTCAAAACGAGGACCCAACACCACAGGATGGTTGGGAAGAACCTGATGCGTGTTCGATGGCGTTTATCTTTGCGTTTTCGCTTTCAGTGGCTCCTGAGGCCCCAAGATGGCTCCGAGATCGCCCAAGAGAGCCCCACACGGGGCTAAGGAGGGCTGCAAGACTGCTCCGAAGACCCTCGAGAGCGCTCCAAGAGTGTCCAAAGAGTGCGCCAAGCGACAACTCTTCGGGATCCGACGAGGGGCGGGGGGGGGCATCGCAAACTCTCCTGACCCGACGAGGGTCTCAAGGCCCCTAAGGGGGGGCCGAGAGAACCCGCGGATGGCCCCAAATGCACCCCAGGATGGGCCCAGAGAGGCCTGCCCAGAAGCGCGACCCAGGTGCGTCCAAAGAGGGCCCAAGAAGCAGCTGTCTGGCTCCAATTATCCTGGCGAAGGTCCCAACCAGATACAGTTGTGGGTACCGTAATTGTGAATATCTGCTTCGGTGAAGCTCCCTGTGGGGCCACGAAGCGCTGTACTGGGCGGGGGGGAACGCTGTACTGTGTGGGCGGTGTGCCGAATTGGGTTTCCGGGACGCATGCGGACGGTCCCACTGGGGGCTTCGGTGGAGCCCCCTATGGGGCCACGAAACGCTGCACTGCGCGGGGGAAAATACCAAATTACATTTCCCGGACGCATGCGGACGGTGGCAATGGGGCCTTGGGTGGAGCCCCCTATGGGGCCACGAAACGCTGCACTAGGTGGGTAAAAATGCCAAATTGGGCTTCCGGGACGCATGCGGACGGGGGCACTGGGGCCTTCGGTAAAGCTCCCTATGGGGCCACGAAGCGCTGTACTGGGTGTGCGGGACGCATGCGGACGGTAGCGCTGGGACCTTCGGTGGGGCCTTCTATGGGGCCCCGAAGCGCTGTACTGGGCGTGCGGGGCGCATGCGGACGGTAGCACTGGGACCTTCGGTGGGGCTCCCTATGGGGCCACGAAGCGTTGTACTAGGTAGGTGAAACGCAGGGAGGAGGGGGAGGAGGGCCACGAAACGCTGTACTGGGTGTGCGGGACGCACGCGGACAGTAGCACTGGGACCTTCGGTGGAGCTCCCTATGGGGCCACGAAGCGCTGTGCTGGGTGTGCGGGACGCATGCGGACGGTAGCACTGGGACCTTCGGTGGGGCTCCCTATGAGGCCACAAAGCGCTGTACTGGGTGTGCGGGACGCATGCGGACGGTAGCACTGGGACCTTCGGTGGGGCTCCCATATGGGGCCACGAAACGCTGTACTGGGTGGGTGAAACTCAGGGAGGAGGGGGAGGAGGGCCACGAAACGCTGTACTGGGTGTGCGGGACGCATGCGGACGGTAGCACTGGGACCTTCGGAGGAGCTCCCTATGGGGCTACGAAACGCTGTACTGGGTGTGCGGGGCGCTTGCGGACAGTAGCACTGGGACCTT